GGATGAGGTTCATCATCCCAAAGGGATGAGGTCAGTCGGCCCTGTATCTATGCGGCTGCGTTCTCCCTTGGGCGTGTGAGCGCTGCGACCTATAGATTTCGTTTCGAGTTCCATCGGTGTGCTTACTTGGGTTTTCATTTTGCAACAGCGCATCCTTCGGTTCCAGGTCTGAATTCTCCATGTCGTCAGGAGCTCTTGGTCTGGGGGGGTTCTGTTGGCCCTTAGACGCTGGGTCGCATCATCCTATAAGGATGAGGTCAGTCGGCCTTGGATTTATGCGGCTGCATTCCTGCCTTGGGCGAACGAGCACTGCGACCAATAGATTTCGTTCCGAGTTCCATCGGTGTGCTTGCTTGGGTTTTCATTTTGCAACATTCTCAATTTTTGGTGCAATTTCTTCCGGTGATGAATTGGGTACTAACTTTGCATTTGTTTTGTATCTAAATTGTATCTGTATCTGTAGTGTATTCTGTATTGTAGTTAGATTGTAGGTACGTGTGTTGTATTTCTTTTGTATTGTACTGTATAACGTTCTATCCCTCATTAACAAATCCTAGCCCTCTCCTTTCCTAGCGAGATCTGCTCCAGACCTTCCCGTGGTTCTTGCTGAGCATCAACTATCGAGGACAGAAAATTCAAATTCAAAACCAGCAAAGTTTCACAAAAATCTTGAAAATCGCTCGTTGGTGGCCAACGTGGAGCAAAAGAGACTTTTGTAACTCAACTAACTTTGTTAACTTTGTATTCTTAAGGAAACAAAAATGTATTACATTTAATTTATTATTTATAAGGACAAATGTGAAGACAAGTTGTTAACAAATTTTTCCTTCATTTTCCTTTTTTTCCTCGGCAACTTCTACCTTTAATAGGAGTCGTTTCTTTGATAAGCGTCATCACTAAATCAGCAATGTTAGTGTTTTGTAACATTGCGTGGCACTATTGATAAAAGATCTATGCTGCGATGTATCGGTGAAGTCGGTGGGCCAAAGCTATACATTTTCGCGATATAATTAAATAAAATTTAAACGTAATTAATATAATTCATAATGTTTAAATATGATAACTATTAATATGTGATAATTAAACTGAAAGCCATTTTCCTAAGAACACGAGGTTAGCAAAAACAAATTAGTTTGTTTAAACGTTGTTAAATTAACCCCGAAAATGTACAATTTCTGAGCGAAAATATGAAAAATAATTTTTGCAATCTCATCGTGACGTACGATGACGTCACTGTCACGTGACCTACCTGATAAAAGGTCACATTTTTCGATCCTCTGTGTTTAGTTTTGATTCCGGTCTGGTAGCAACAACACTGGAGCTCCGTTTTGGCTTAAAAGTAGGGCTCTTTTCACGAATTTCTAATTTATTATTAATAAATATTAGTGAAAATGTGTTGTATTAGTACTGTAAACACGAACGAAATGGATATTTTTCCGAAAAGGACTGAAAACAGGGTAAGTACGACCTCAGTTTTAATTTATCGGATTCCGTGATTCGTTCACTCGACAATGTTTAAATTTTGGGAAAATTTTCGAAACGATTGAAGTTGGTTGATCAAAGCTATACATTTGCACGATATTAATTTATAAATTTTAAACATAATTAATATCACTTATAATGTTTAAATATGATAAGCATAAATAAATATGATAATTAAATCGAAACTCGTTGCCCTACAAGTCCGAAATTATTAAAAACAAATCAATTTGTTTAAAAATTGTTAAATTATCCCCGAAAATGTGCATTTTCCCGGCCAAAATATGAAAAATAATTCTTGCAATCTCATCGTGACGTACGATGACGTCACTGTCACCTGAGCTAGCTGTCCGAAGGTCACGTGTCGCGGTTCTTTGTGTTCACTATTAATTTCTGTTGGATGGCGGCAAGATTATCGCGTCGTTTTGGCGTAAAAGTGCGGCGTTTTAGCGAATTTCTACTTTATTATTAATAACTATTGCGGAAAATATGTCAAAATTTGGCCGAACAGTGAAGAAGGGGAAATTGGAAAATTTTCAGGAAATGCGAATTTTTGAAAATTTCTAAAAATCTCGATATTTCAACGGCCGATTCCGGAAAAACGGTTGCAGTTATCAAAGAAACGATTCCGGAAGTGAGTTGTAGAGCTCGAAATCTACAAGAAAATGTGTTTAGTTAAGTTTCGAAAATGTCAAAATTTGGCCGAAAAGTAAAGAAGGGGGGACCATTGGAAAATTTTCACTTAAAAAAATTGGTCTAAAGAGTTTAGACAGTACTTCCCTTGCTGTCGGAAACGTGACGACTGCATGCCTATTATGTTTTTTTTTCGCAGTGGATTTCAAAGAATTCGGTTTTGTATTTCCTGAGTAAATCAATAAAGTAAATTTACGCATTCATTAATTTTTTTGAGTCACCCTGTATATGCAAATCCAAAAAATATGAATGGAGTGATAAATTACAAGTACAGACTCATCATATTTTTACAGTTTAGATAGGATTTATTCGGCAAACTTTCGGGCTGACGTCATTAATTTTTTGGAGGGGATAAGCAAATATATTTTGACTAAACATTTATTATGCTCTTTATAACCTTAAAACATCTGCAAGATTTCAAAGCATTCGGTTTTGTAGTTTCTGAGTAAATCAGTAAAATAAATTTACGCTTTCATTAATTTTTTTGAATCACCCTGTATATGCAAATCCAAAAAATATGAATGGAGTGATAGATCACAAGTACAGACTCATCATATTTTGTACATTTTAGATATGATTTATTCCACAAACTTTTGAGCTGACGTCATCAAGTTTTTGGAGGGGATAAGCAAATATTTTTTGACTAAAGATTTATGATGCTCTTTATAGCCTTAAAACATCTGCAACATTTCAAAGCATTCTGGTTAGCAGATTAAAAATTAAATTTCAAAATGTTGTTTTATAATTTTGATTTTTTTTCCAAAAATCTGGACGTTTCGGGTGAAAAGTCGATTCAGAGTTGTTAACTACATGTGTAGGACTATGTTATTTTATACAATTGAAAACCCATTTACTATGTACAATTTTGAAGTGACGTCATCGCATTAGTGGTGGGGATGATTAGACAAATTTTGGTTAGCGTTTTACCATCTACATGATATTCTTAATATAAGTACAAAATTTTACAACAATCGGTCGAGTACTTTCGGAGATTATCTGTCTAATAAAAATCCGGGACGGCAGACGGACAGACGGACAGACGGACGGACAGACGGACAGACAGACGGAAATGGGAGACCTATTTCTTCGTCTTCTAGGGGTCATGAAAGATCGAGAAAACGTAAAAGTAGAGAGTCGGCCGACGGACTCGATTACAATACTTCCTTTGCTTATGCTCGCGAAGTAAAAAGCAATCAAAAAGTACTAAAAACGCGATAAAAAAGTCCACGAAAAAGTGAAAAAGTTACAAAAACCAAAAAACACAGAAAAGGTCATCAAAATGGAGGCAAACGCTCAAAAAAAGATAATCAAAAAGCCTACGAGAAAGGCGACGAAAATGAGAAAGAAGAATAAAAATCTATAAAGAAGTAAGAAAAAAGCCACTACAAAAAATAATTACAGAGGGGCCAAACAACACGACATAAAAATGCAACTAAAAGAATGAGGCGACCAAGAAAACAGAGAACGAAACAACTTTCACAAAAAAATACAAAACTAATAAAAAAGGAGTTAAAAAAATAGAGGGCAAAGAAAATCAACAAAAAAGTCGACTAGAAAAGGTAACTAAAAGACGACAATAAGAAGAAGAAAATACAACAAAAAAAAATGAAGAAAAGACAAATAGTCCACACAAAGGACGACAAAAAACGCGAAAACATGACAACAAAAAATTAGAGAAAAAGGCCGCTACAAAAAAGTGAATAAAAAAATAATGTGATTAAAAAATTTAAAAAAGGCGACATTAAAAAGTGAAAAGAAGTGGACAAATAACCACTACACAACTAAGAAGGAATCAGAAAAGACAAAAATTAAAATAAGAGGTGAAAAGTGAAAAAAACAGCAAAAAATGGCTACAAAAAGGTTCAAAAACGCCATAAAAGAGAAAATACATACAAAAGTGACAACAATCAGCCCAGTATTTTCGGACATTGTCTATCTCATAGATAGACTCAGCCAGACGTAAACAATCTTATTCTCCGGAAATAGAAGTATAAACTTATTTAGTAAAAAAATTAATCACCTATAATAACAAAAAAATCGGCAAGGTGCAAAAAAGTATTTATCAGTGAATTTTTAAATAACGTCACTAGTTTTCTGGAAAGGAAGAGTACGTTGTTGATTTAATTTTGAATTTGTTTCCAAAAATCTATAAGCTTATGGTACTACAATCATTAATAAGAATTAAGTAAACAAAATTTTTGGACGACCTCATCAAACTGTTGGTAGGGATACAACGGAAACGAAAGACCTACTTTTTCCAATTCTAAATTATAACATTTTGTTAAATAGGTATTTAAATAGACACCAATGAAACTAGAATAGAAAATTTAATGACCAGAAGACTTTTTTAAGTTTAAAGGCGATCATGAAAACAAGGCTTTGAGTAAAACATCGCGAAAAAAATATTATTTAGGAAGTATCAATACGAATCAGTACACACGACCTTGTTACTAATGTCATAATGTGTTTGTAAATAAAATACAACTCTTTATCAGAACAGTGAACCTTCAAACTCTTTCTTCGACCTTTCTCTTTACCTCAGAAGTAAAAATAAGGCCAAGGTACCACGATCTGAAGAGAAATTGTTACTATAAAAATGTTATAGCCAAGGAAAAGAGCACATACATGTCGAGATTAAGTTATCATTGTGTATACAAAAATAATAAATAAAAAATAACAAAAGGTCAAAGTTCAGAGTCAGTAGTCTTCAACATTTTTCTTAAGACAGTCTTTCTGGACTATTATTCTCGTTTGTAATTTTTCTAAAAATTATTTCTTGACATATAACTCTGAACTTGACTTTTAGTAGTGATTATAGAGTTCCCTACCAGCACAAAACGTCCTCTGTGAAGTAATATACTTGAACACCTCCCCAGACCTCAAACACTCCTCCTGACTGACAATGGGCATGGTAGTCTGTCTCGGCTCGGCAGTCATCGAATTATTATTTTCGTCCCGCCCCCACCCTACCACTTTCCCCTTTTCCCCCACAACAGTATCAATATCATCAGACCCAGCCCAAAGACAAATCGGCCTGATATAATTACTGAACTCGATCACTTGCGACAAAATCACCACAGCAATATCAGCATCAGACTCCAGAGGAACGTAGTCCGGATGAACTTTAATATCATCAGCTCCGACCATCTTCTCCCCGTTGCCTATCAGGAGAGTCTCGATGTTGAGTTTGCCCAAGATGAAGAGGAATTTGTCTGCGGGGATCCTTCGGCGGCTTTTCTGGACGCAGTGCGCGGCTGTAGAAAAAAGTGTGTTGAGTCAACGTCCTTAAAATTGCCCAGGAAGTGCTTACCGGTTATCACGTGACGGGTGGACACTAGCGATCCGGCGCATTTGTACTCTACTCCCGTTCCAGTGGAGACAAACATTGCGGTTAACCATGGGAAAGCACCACGTGGGACGGATTTTCCGTTGACTACTAGCAAGTTGGCGACTACTGGAATTCCGCACTGGTTGTTTGATGATGGCGGCTGGGGTTTCGAAACGGGGGGACGGGTGGTTTGTTTCGGGGGCGGGGGGGTGGTGACTATTGGTGGGCGCGGCGAACCTCTACCATTGAGGAAGGGGTTGCTTGAAACTAAAAAAAAACAAAATAATAATAATAATAATAAGATTTGTTCGTAGATTTACATTACATTTATGAACAAATTTTCATTCTTATGTAAAAGACTGACCATATTTGAAAATTCTTAAATCCGCCAAATTTGAAGGGCTACTTTTATGTTTTCTCGACGTTTCATGACCCCTGGAGTACTATTTTGGTGCTTTATGTGGTGTATGCGGTTCATAAATCTATGTTGACTTTTTATCCTAGACATCCAAATTAAAAAAAAAAAAATCAAAATTGTATAACATTTTACAATTTAACTTTAAAATCGACTGTTTTGAAATATTGCAAAAGTTTAAAGTTATCGGAAGCATGGCAAATGGTTAATCCAAATTTATCTGTTCATGTAACCGCAGGAATTGATGATGTCATCTTACAGTTTCGTCGAATAAATATTATTTAAATGTTAAAAAGTAACTTAAGTTGTGAAATTGTGGTTTATGAATCTGTTATGTTTTTTTTATCCTAGACATCGAGACTTTTGGGAAAACATCAAAATTGTAGAGATAACAATTTTTCGTTTTTCCAATTTTTCAATTTTTAATCTCTCGATTTTTCAATTATTGATTTCTCAATTTTCGATATTTCACTATTGAAATTTTTTTGTTTCTTATTCTCCAATTTTTCGATTATTCAAATTTTCGAATTATCGATTTCTCAATTTTTGATTCTTCAATGTCTCGATTTTTAAATGTGTGAATTATTCAATGTTTCAATTTTTGGCGTTTTTAAATTGCAATTTTTTTTATTTCAGTTTCTCCATTAACAATTTTTTTGATTTTTCCATTTCTAGATTTCCCGACTTCAATTGTTTAGATTTTCAGTTTTACATTTCTACAATTTTTCGGTTTATTAACTTCCATTTTTCCACTTTTCGGTTACCGCATTTTCCGTTTTTTGCTTCCTTTATTTTTCTTCCATTTTTCAATTTTCCGATTTTTTGTTTCAATGTCTCAATTTTTAAATGTGTCAATTTTTCAATTTTTCAATTTTTTAGTTTTTGAGGTTTCTAAATTTTCGATTTTCCGATTTCTCAATTTCTCGCTTATTTTTTTTTTCATTTTTCCATTTCTCGATTTCAATGTTTTTAATTTTCCGACTTATATGATTTCTCAATTTTTCACTGTTTCAATTTTGTGACTTTGTGATATTTTGATCCTTCATTTTTTCGATTTTTCCATTTCTCAACTTTCTACTTTTCCGATGTCAATTTTTCGAATTTTTGATGTTTCGATTTCTCGATTTTTCAATTTTTTAATATTTTCATTTTTCAATTTTTAAAATTTTCGATTTTTCAGTTCTTGAATTTTCCAATTTTTCGAATTTTTAATTTTTAGATTTTTCAGTTTTTTGGTGTTTCGAGTTCCCGATCCTTCGATCTTTTGAGTTCTCGGATTTAGATTTTTAAAATTTTTGATTTTTCGATCTTCTAATTTTCGTTTAGTCAATTTTTTATTTTTCAATTTTTCTGTTTCTCGATGTATCGAAATATCGATGTTTCGATTTTTTGTTTGCCCAATTTCTCCGATTTTTCAATTTTTCGATTTAAAATTTTTCGATTCTTTAATTTTACATTTCATCAAATTTTCGATTAGAAATTTTTCGTTTGGGTTTTTTTTCCTTCTTGTTCAATTTTTCAATTCTTAATTTTAGGATTTTTCGCTTTCAACCTATTTCGATGTCTCCATGTTTCGACTCCATTTCTCGATCGAGACTTTTGTTGTTTCAATTTTTCGATGTTTTGGAATTTTTCAATTTCTCAATTTTTCCGTTTTTCGATGCTTCAATTCTCCGATTTTTCAATTATTGCAATTTTTTAAATTATGGATTTTCGATTTCTGGATTTCTCAATTTTTCGAGGTTTCAGTCATGGGATTTTTCAATTTTTCGATTCCCCAATCTTTCTTCCATGTTTATTTCAATTTTGAGATTTTGTAATATGTATTTTGATTTTTCAGTTTTCCAATTTTTCGATTTCTCGATTTTTTAATTTATAAATTTTTCAATTTTTCGATTTTTTTTTGATGTTTCAATTTGTAGATTTTAAAATTTTTCTATTTTTCAATATTTGACATTTCCAAATTTTCAATTTTTCGGTTTCCCGGTTAATTGAATTTTTTGATTTTCCCTTTTCTCGACATCAGTGTTAGAATTTTTCAAATTTTCAATTCTTCAATTTTGCGTTTTATCAATTTTTAACTATTAGAGTTTTCAGTTACTTTATGTTTCCATATTATATTTCCTTTGATTTTTCGACTCGGTTTTGGATTTTTCGGTATTTTAATTTTTTTTTCGATACTTACTTATTTTTCAATTTTAAAAATTTTAGAAATTTCTCGATTTCTAGATGTTTTTATTTTTCGGTTCTTCGATTTTCCAATTTTTCGAATTTCTAAAATTTTTCATTTTTGATATATTTGATTTTTCGATTTTTCAGTTCTTCGATTTTTAATTTATTCAATTTTTCAGTATTTCAATTTTTCAATTTTTATATTTTTCGATTTATCGAGATTTTGACGTTTCGATTTTTTGTTTGTTCACTTTTTCGATTTGTCGGTTTTTCTTATTGTAAATACAATTTTTAAATTTTGAATTTTTTACTTTCAGTTTACTTTGTTTCTCAATTTTTTTATTTTTCGATTTTTTGATTTTCCAATTTTTCGATGTTCTAATTTTGCAATTGTTCGATTTCCCAATTTTTCGTCATTACAGACTTGGGATTTATCAATTTCTCCAGTTTTCGGTTCGTCGATTCTTCAATTTTTCAATTTTTGTGATTTTTTAAATTTTGAATTTTTAGATTTTTGGATATTTCAATTTTTTGAACTTGAGATTTCTCGATTTTCCACTTTTTCGATTCCTCAGTTTGTCCGTATGTATTTTAATTTTTTGTTTTTTTTAATTTTAGATTTTTCGATTTCTTCAGTTTTTCGACTTTTCAATTTTTCTATTTTTCCAATTTTTAGAATTTTAAACTTCTCGATTTTTCAGTATTTTTAATTTCAGATTTTTCAATTTCCCGTTTTCAGTCTTCGTTATTTAAATTTTTCTTCAGATTTTAGATTCTTCAATTTTTCTTCAATTTTTCTTCAATTTTTCGATATTTCAGTTTTAGGATTTTGCAATACATATTTAAATTCTTCAGTTCTTCAATTTTTAAATTTGACTTTTTGGTTTTTTGATTTCCCTGTTCATTTATTTGATATTTTAATTTTTCAATTTCTAAAATCTTATATTTTTCGATTTCTCGATTTTTCTGTTTTTCGATTTTTCAAGATTTCGAATTTTTAAGTATCAGAGTTTTCATTTTTTTGATGTACAGTTTTCTCGCCTTTTCGAATTCTAGGTTTTAAATTTTTCAATTACATATTTCAGTTTTGGAATTTTTCAATTTTTCGATTTTTTGATGTTTTAGTTCGTAGATTTTAAAATTTTTCCATTTTTCCATATCTGACATTTCTAAATTTGCAACATTTTGGTTTCTCGATTAATTTTTTCCCATCTCTCGATTTCAAGGTTAGGATTTTTTAGTTTTTCAATTCTTCAATTTTGTGTTTTTTTTTTAATTTATCGACTTTAATTTTTTGACTTTTCGATTTCTGAATTTTTCAGTACTTCAGTTTTGGGACTTTCCAATGTTTCGATTCCTCAATATTTTAATTTTTCGTTTTCCCAATTTTTTACTTTTTCGATTATTCAATTTTTTGACATTTTAATTTTTAATTTTTATAAAATTTCGATTTTTCAGTTTTTTGATTTTTCAATTTCTGAGTTTATAAATTTTAGATCTTTCAGTTTTCATTACGGCTTTTCGACTTCTCGATTTTAGATTTTTCGGTTTTTAAATTTCTCGATTTTTAAAATTTTTCGTTTTTGGATTTTTCAATTTTTCGATTTGTTGATTTTTTAAATTCGAAAATTTTTAATTTAATTTTTTTTAATAATAATAATAATAATAATAATAATAAATAAATTTATTATTTTAGTTTTTCAATTCTTCAATTTTGTATTTTTTTAATTTATCGACTTTGATTTTTTGACTTTTCGATTTCTGAATTTTTCAGGTTTGGGAATTTTCTAATGTTTCGATTCCTCAATATTTTAATTTTTCCTTTTCTCGATTTTTTACTTTTTCGATTATTCAATTTTTCGACATTTTACTTTCTAAATTTTTGGAAATTTTCGATTTTTCGATTTTTCAGTTTTTTGATTTTTCAATTTTGAGTTTTTAAATTTTAGTTTTACAGTTTTCATTACGATTTTTCGACTTCTCAATTTTAGATTTTTCGGTTTTTAAATTTCTCGATTTTTAAAATTTTTAATTTTTCGATTTTTTGATTTTTTAAATTCGAAATTTTTCAATTTTTCAATTTTTCGTCTTTTTTGCTTGTCGATTTTCCAATTTTTCGATGTTTCGATTTTTCAATTTTTTGTTAATTCAGTTTTGGAATTTTTCAATTTTTCGGTTTATTGATTTTTTATAAATGAAATTTTTTAATTTTTCAATTTTTAATTTTTACATTTTCCTCCTTCAGTCTATTTCGATTGCTCAATATTCCCAACTTTTCGTTTCTCGATTTCTCCATCTTTCATTGCTTTGATTTCTCCATGTTTCGATTTTTAAATTTTTCAATTATTTCAATGTTGGAATTTTTCAATTTTTCGATTTTTTGTTTCAATTTCTCAATTTTTAAATTTTCCAATTTTTTTATATTGGACGTTTCTAAATTTTCAATTTTTCGTTTTCTCAATTTCTCGCTTAATTTATTTTTTTCATTTTTCCATTTCTCGATTTTCTACTTCTCCGATTTCAATTTTTCGAATTTTTGATGTTTCAATTTCTCAATTTTTCAATTTTTTGATATTGTAATTTTCCAATTTTTAAAATTTTCGACTTTTCAGTTCTTGAATTTTCCAATTTTTCGAATTTTTAAATTTTAGATATTTAAGTTTTTTGGTGTTTCGAATTCTCGGTCCTTAGATTTCTGGATTTCTCGGTTTTAGATTTTTATAATTTTTGATTTTTCGATTTTTCAATTTTTCGTTTTGTCAATTTTTCAATTTCTCGATTTATCGACTTTTCGATTTTTCAACTTTACGATTTGCCGATTTTTTTTTATTCTTAATTTTTCCATTTTTGGATTTCTCAATTTTTCGTCATTTCAGTTTTACAATTTTTCAATTTCCCGATTTTTCGATTCAAGTTTTGATTTTTTAAATTATGGATTTCCCATTTCTCAATTTCTCGATTCATTGATTTTTTGATTTTCCCATTTCTCGATTTCTCGACTTTTCAATTTTTCGATTTTTTGATATTTTGTTTTCTCGACTTTCCAATTTTTCGATGTTTTAGTTCTTCCATTTTTATTTCAATTTTAGGATTTCGCATTATTTCGATTTTCCAGTATGCCCAATTTTTCGATTTATCGATTTTTTACTTTATAAATGTTTCAATTTTTCAATTTTTTGATGTTTCAATTTGTAGATTTTTAAATTTTCCTATTTTTCCATTTTTAACATTTCTAAATTTGCAATTTTTCGGTTTCTCGGTTAATTGACTTTCTTTATTTCCCCATTTCTCAATTTCAGCCTTAAGATTTTTTAGTTTTTCAACTCATCAGTTTTGTGATTTTTTAATTTTTCGACTTTGATTTTTTGACTTTTCGATTTCTTAATTTTTCAGCTTTGGGACTTTGCAATATTTTGATTCTTCAATATTTTGATTTTTCCTTTTCTCGATTTTTTACTTTTTCGATTATTCAATTTTGTGTTTTTTTAATTTATCGACTTTGATTTTTTGACTTTTCGATTTCTGAATTTTTCAGTACTTCAGTTTTGGGACTTTCCAATGTTTCGATTCCTCAATATTTTACTTTTTCCCTTTCTCGATTTTTTACTTTTTCGATTATTCAATTTTTTGACATTTTAATTTTTAAATTTTTATAAAATTTCGATTTTTCAGTTTTTTGATTTTTCAATTTTTGTAGTTTATAAATTTTAGATCTTTCAGTTTTCATTACGGCTTTTCGACTTCTCGATTTTAGATTTTTCGGTTTTTAAATTTCTCGATTTTTAAAATTTTTCGTTTTTGGATTTTTCAATTTTTCGATTTGTTGATTTTTTAAATTCGAAAATTTTTAATTTTTCAATTGTTCGACTTTTCTGCTTGTCGATTTTCCAATTTTTCGATGTTTAGATTTTTCATTTTTTTTCATTTCAGTTTTGGAATTTTTCGATTTTTCGATTTTTCGGTTTATTGATTTTTTTTAATGAAATTTTTTAATTTTTCAATTTTTAATTTTTATAATTTTCTATTTCAACCTATTTCGATTGCTAATGTTCCCAATTTTCAACTTCTCCATTTCTCGATTTTTGATTGCTTTAATTTCTCCATGTTTTGATTTTCCAATTTTTCATTTTTCCAATTTTTCGTTCACTTTTGGAATTTTTCAATTTCTCGATTTTTTGATGTTTTAGTTTGTAGATTTTTAAATTTTTCTATTTTTCAATATCTGACATTTCTAAATTTGCAACATTCTGGTTTCTCGAAGTTAGGATTTTTTAGTTTTTCAATTCTTCAATTTTGTATTTTTTTAATTTATCGACTTTGATTTTTTGACTTTTCGATTTCTGAATTTTTCAGGTTTGGGAATTTTCTAATGTTTCGATTCCTCAATATTTTAATTTTTCCTTTTCCCGATTTTTTACTTTTTCGATAATTCAATTTTTCGACATTTTACTTTTTAAATTTTTGGAAATTTTCGACTTTTCAATTTTTCAGTTATTTGATTTTTCAATTTTGAGTTTTTAAATTTTAGTTTTTTCAGTTTTCATTACGATTTTTCGACTTCTCGATTTTAGATTTTTCGGTTTCTAAATTTCTCGATTCTTAAAATTTTGGATTTTTCGATTTTTCAATTTTTTGATTTGTTGATTTTTTAAATTCGAAATTTTTCAATTTTTCGTCTATTTTGCTTGTCGATTTTCCAATTTTTCGATGTTTCGATTTTTCAATTTTTTGTCATTTCAGTTTTGGAATTTTTCAATTTTTCGGTTTATTGATTTTTTAAATGAAATTTTTTAATTTTTCAATTTTTAATTTTTATATTTTTCTCCTTCAGTCTATTTCGATTGCTCAATATTCCCAATTTTTCGTTTCTCGATTTCTCGATCTTTCATTGCTTTGATTTCTCCATGTTTCGATTTTTAAATTTTTCAATTATTTCAGTTTTGGAATTTTTCAATTTTTCGATTTGTTGATGTTTCAGTTTGTAGATTTTTAAATTTTTCTGTTTTTCAATATCTGACATTTCTAAATTTGCAATATTCTGGTTTCTCGATTAATTTTTTTCCCATCTCTCGATTTCAAAGTTAGGATTTTTTAGTTTTTCAATCCTTCAATTTTGTGTTTTTTTAACTTATCGACTTTGATTTTTTGACTTTTCGATTTCTGAATTTTTCAGTACTTCAGTTTTGGGACTTTTCAATATTTCGATTCCTCAATATTTTAATTTTTTACTTTTCTCGAGTTTTTACTTTTTCGATTATTCAATTTTTCGACATTTTACATTTTAAATTTTTCGAAATTTTCGAGTTTTCGATTTTTCAGTTTTTTGATTTTTCAATTTTTCGAGTTTTTAAATTTTAGATTTTTCAGTTTTTATTAAGATTTTTCGACTTCTCGATTTTAGATTTTTCGGTTTTTAAATTTCTCGATTTTTAAAATTTTTGGTTTTTGGATTTTTCAATTTTTCGATTTGTTGATTTTTTAAATTCGAAAATTTTTAATTTCTCAATTGTTCGACTTTTCTGCTTGTCGATTTTCCAATTTTTCGATATTTAGATTTTTCAATTTTTTGTCATTTCAGTTTTGGAATTTTTCGATTTTTCGGTTTATTGATTTTTTTTAATGAAATTTTTTAATTTTTCTTTTTTTAATTTTTATAATTTTCTATTTCGACCTATTTCGATTGCTAATGTTCCCAATTTTCAACTTCTCCATTTCTCGATTTTTGATTGCTTTAATTTCTCCATGTTTTGATTTTCCAATTTTTCTTTTTTCCAATTTTTCGTTCAGTTTTAGAATTTTTCAATTTCTCGATTTTTCAGTTGTTCGATATTTCTATCTTCCAATTGTTCGAAATTTTAAATTTTTGATTTTTCAATTTTTCGGTTTTTCAGTAGGTATCTCAGTTTTACAATTTTGGTATTTCGATTTCTTGAAATCTTGGTTGTTCGATTTTTAAATTTTTTCGACTTTTCATTCGACTTTAAATTTCTGGATTTTTAAATTTTTTGATGTTTTTTGATGTATCGAAGAGAACAAAAAATATAGTAAGATGTAGGAACTAAATACAGGGTGTTCTATTTAAAAAACTGAAATATCGGTAGTTAAAAATTCTAATGTTTAAAAATTCTTTTATAGTCACTCTGTATAATCAAATTAATTTAATTGATACCCCAACAAAGTCACAGATTATAAAAATCACCCTATTGTATTTTTTTTAAACATTTGCATTGAGACATTTTGGTAACGTCAGTTCAGAAATGCAAAAATAAATTATGGTTTTATAAAGCCTACAACGAGACCAATCAAAGTATATAAAAATATATAGGGTGTTACATTTTAATATATCTATTAATTAAGGAGATATTGAGGATCGGGTTCGTAGTTGAAATAGAACACTCTGTATATATATAGGTAACGGAAAGAGAGCTGAATTGTGCATGCAAATTAAGAAAAGTATATGAAAAAGCACTCAGTGATAAACGTAAAATAAGTAAATAAAAAACTATAATAAACTAAGAAGAACTTTTTTCGAAAATTCGGAAAAATTTTTCAAAAGCGAAATTATGAGACAAGACGCTAGAATAGTTAAGATTTACTTTCCAATGTTTTCAAATAAAAACCGTAGAAACTCCTCTTTTTACGAGATTTCTCAGAAAAGTATAAATAAAATTACAACTACAAATCAAAATAGTGATAACGTATTATTTATGTCAAATGTCGTCGGTATACCGGATACCGACAATTACTTTAAATACATAATATGCCTGATAAGAGGTTCGGGCTCTACTCACGCATTATCAATTTCGTTCAATATAGTGGGTATTATCGGAATACCCTGTCATTACCCAAATTATAGTCTATAATGAATCACCGGCTCGAAAAACCACAACCACATATTTATAAGTCATAAAGCATTAAAACTGACATTTTACACCAAATTAACAACTGAAATGAATAATATTAGTCATAAATCACCCGAGGGTCAACGAATCAACAGATAATAATATAAGTGTGAATCAGAGAATTTTCAAAATGTCGGTCAACGTACACAAGATGACAGAAATGACCTTCAATAAGATCGTACTATTTATTTGTAACAAAAGTTAAGCTCTTGGAAATTTCTAAACCAAAACTCGGTCAGAAGTGGAATTACTGAAACAGGTAGAAAGTGGACTAGCACTAGACCGTCGTAGGAAGACAGACATTGATTTAGAAAAAAAAAAATTGTATCTACTACTACTTACACAATAAATCGTTAGCAGCCACAGAAGTCGTGGTAACTTTCGCTGTGGTAGCCTTCACCGTGGTCGGCCTTGACGTAGTAAACCGCATGATAAAGACCTCATCATCATAGTCCCTACCCCCATTAAACCCTGAGTTATCCCCGAGGAACGGATTCTGGTTATTGAACCTTTTCCCCCCATCCGCACCTCCACCTCCCGGGAAAGAATTTTCCCAGTTTTTGCCTCCGTTGGGACCGTTTCCCAAGAACGGATTTCCGCTTCCTATGACGTTGTTGCCGGGGTTGAAGGGGTTGCTTGACAGAGGTTGCACTTTGACGAAGCGGTGGTTCAGGGTTACCGTGGTGACCACACCGGTGAATCGGTTAACTGGAAACCAGTCTTTTTCAATGAAAACTTTAGTAGGCGTAGGGGGAGGCGAGGTTAGTTTGGCTAACTTACATGTTAGTGGGGGGCCTAGGCAGACGTCTTGGCCGTTCACGGTGATTTTGGTCACTTTGGGCGGGATGTTTTGCCAGCGGGGGAAGTACACGCGGTATTCGATGGGCATGCGGTTGCGGATGTTGTCGACCACTTGGTTGCGGGGGGTGCCGAGCTCGATGCGGCCGTTGAAGTTCTTAAATTTAAGTTTGTTTAAAAATTATATTTGGAATTAACAAATTTGAATTTTTTTATAGACAACTTTTTCAAAAATGAAAAAAAAATTTTTTTGACGATTTTCGAAATTTAACTAAATATTTTTTCTTGTAAACCTCGAATTAATTTCCATGTATAACTTGAAATCATCGGCCAACGTAAGTTTATTGCCGGGAATAGCGTCAGGAAGATAGTCAATAAAGAGCAAAAACAACAAGGGTCCTAAGTTCGATCTCTGTGGGACCCCAGAAGATAGAATAAATGTTTAGAGCCAAAATTTCTGTATTTCACAAATGAGATTCTACCGGTCAAATAAGAGATTAAAAGTTCCAATAGCGGATTTGTGAAGCCAATATTAGTTTTTCTCGACTTTTCAATTTTTCGATATTTTAACTTTTCAATTTTTAAAATTTTAGATTTCGCGATTTCTAGATGTTTTTTTTCCTTTTTTTTTTATGCTCAATTACTCGATTTTTAAATTTTTCGATCTTTGAAATTTCAAAATTTTCAATTTTTCGATTTCTCAATTTCTTGCTTAATTGTTTTTTTTTTTCATTTTACCATTTCTCGATTTCAATGTTTTCAATTTTTCGATTATCTATTTTTCGATTTTTGATGTTTCAATTTTTGAATTTTAAAATTTTCGATTTTTCAGTTTTTGAATTTTTAAATTTTTCGAATTTTTAAATTTTAGATTTTTCAGTTTTTGATAATTCGATTTTTCAGTCCTTCGATTTTTCGACTTCTCAGTTATAGATTTTTAAAATTCTTGACTTTTCGATATTTCAATTTTTCAATTTCTTATTTTTTCTATTTCCCAATTTATTGAGAATTTGATGTTTCAATTACTCGACTTGTCAATTTTTCAATTTTTTAAACTCTAACATTTCTAAATTTTAAATTTTTCCATTTCTCTATTTCTCGCTTAATTGATTTCTTTTCATTTTCCCATTTCTCGATTTCAATGTTTTCAATTTTTCGATTCTTACATTTTTCTTCCATTTTTCGTTATTTCAGTTTTGGGATTTTGCAATACATATTTGGTTTCTACAGTTTTCCGATTTTAAAATTTGATTTTTTTGATTTTTTGATGTCTCGATTTCTCTATTTATTTATTTGATATTTTAATTTTTTAATTTCTAAGATCTTAGATTTTTGGATTTCTCGATTTTTGCGTTTTTCGATTTTTTAAGATTTCGAATTTTTAAGTTTCAGATTTTTCAGTTTTTCGATTTTCCAATTTTTCGTCATTTCAGTTTTGGAATTTTTCAATTTCTCGATTTTCCGGCTTTTCAATCCTTCAATTTTTCGGTATTTTAATTTTTCGGTATTTTAATTTTTCAATTTTTAAAATTTTAGATTTTTCAATTTACCGATTTCTAGATGTTTTGATTTTTCAGTTGTTCGACTTTTTACTTTGTAAATTTTTCAGTCTTACAATAATTTTGTTTCAATTACTCGCTTTTTAAATTTTTCAATTTTGCAATTTCTGACATTTCTCAATTTTCAATTTTTCGATTTCTCTATTTCTCGCTTACCTAATTGATTTTTTTTTTCATTTTCCCATTTCTCGATTTCAATGTTTTCAATTTTTCGACTTCGATTTTTTGATTTTTCGTTTTCTCAATTTTTCAATGTTTCAATTTTGGGACTTTGCACTATTTCGATTCTTCACTTTTTCTATTTTTCAATTTTTCAATTTTCTATTTTTTAATTTTTTCAATTTTTCGATTTTTTGATGTTTCAATTTCTCGATTTTTCAATTTTTCAGTATTTTGATTTGTCAATTTTTAAATTTTCGATTTTTCAGTTCTTGAGTTTTTTAATTTTTCGAATTTTTAAATTTTAGATTTTTCAGTTTTTGATAATTCAATTTTTCAGTCCTTCGATTTTTCGACTTCTCAGTTATATATTTTTAAAATTTCAGATTCTTCGATCTTTCAATTTTTCGATTTCTTATTTTTTCTATTTCCCGATTTATTGAAATTTTGATGTTTCGGTTGTTGAATTTTTCGACTCTTCGATTTCTCAATTTTTCGACTTGTCGAATTTTTTAATTCTAAATTTTTCAGCTTTTCAATTTTTCGCCTTTTCGGTTTTTCGATTTTCCAATTATTCGATGTTTTGATTTTTCAATTTTTCGATTTCCCAATTTAGCGTCATTTCAGTTTTGGAATTTTTCAATTTCTCGATTTTTCGGCTTTTCGATCCTTCAATTTTTCGGTATTTTAATTTTTCAATTTTTAAAATTTTAGATTTTTCAATTTCCCGATTTCTAGATGTTTTGATTTTTCAGTTCTTCGACTTTTTACTTTGTAAATTTTTCAGTCTTTCAATTTTTTTATGCTTCAATTACTCGCTTTTTAAATTTTTCAGTTTTTTAATCTCTAACATTTCTAAATTTTCAATTTTTCGATTTCTCTATTTCTCTCTTAATTGAATTTTTTCATTTTTCCATTTCTTGATTTCAATCTTTTTTAATTTTTCGATTTCGATTTTTTGATTTTTCGTTTTCTCAATTTTTCAGTGTTTCAATTTTGGGACTTTGCAATATTTCGATTCTTCACTTTCGATATTTTGATGTCTCAATTTCCCGATTTTTCAATTTTTCAGTATTTTAATTTTTCGACTTTTCGGGTTTTCGATTTTCCAATTATTCTGTTTTGATTTTTCAATTTTTCGATTTTCCAATTCTTCGTCATTTCAGTTTTGGAATTTTTCAATTTCTCGATTTTTCGGCTTTTCCATCCTTCAACTTATCGGTTTTTTTAATTTTTCAATTTTTAAAATTTTAGATTTTTCATGTTTTCGATTTCTAGATGTTTTGATTTTTCACTTCTTCGATTTTTCAATTTTTCAAATTTTTAAATTTTAGATTTTTCAGTTTTTTAATATTCTGATTTCTCAGTGTTTCGATTTTTCGACTTGTCGGTTTTAGATTTTTAGGTTTTCCTTTTTTTCGATGTTTTAATTTTTCAATTTTAAAAATATTTGAGATTTTTCAATTTACCGATTTCTAGATGTTTTGATTTTTCAGTTCTTCGACTTTTTACTTTGTAAATTTTTCAGTCATCCAATTTTTTTGTTTCAATTACTCGATTTCTAAATTTTTCGATTTTTCAATCTCTGACATTTCTAAATTTTCAATTTTTCGATTTCCCTATTTCTCGCTTAATTGCTTTTTTTTCATTTTCCCATTTCTCGATTTCAATGTTTTCAATTTTTCGACTTCGGTTTTCGACTTCGATTTTTTGATTTTTCGGCTTTTCAATGCTTCAATTTTTCGGTATTTTAAGTTTTCGTCATTTCAGTTTTGGAATTTTTCAATTTCTCGAGGGACCATATTTCCCTACAAAAGTTTTAAAAATAAAGAAAAAATGAACCAAAAATTTGGAATCGAAAACTAGAAAAAATTGCAAATCGCAATAAAAAACTGAAAAAATGTAACTTAAAAATTAGAATATGTACAATTTGAAAGATTGAAGAAATAAACTAGAAGATCGAAAAATTGAAAAATCCAAAAATTTAAAGGCTGAAAAAATTGAAATTGAAAATTAGGAAAATGCAAATAAAAAAATTAAAGAAAGAAAATGAGACATCTATGACCTGAAAAATCTAAAACTTGAAGAACCAAAAAATAAAAAAATCAAAAAATTTAGAAACAGAAAAATCGAAAATTTGAAGAATTGAAGAAACGAAATGTAAAAAATAAAAAAAATCAGAGAAGAAACAACAAAAAAATGAAAGAACATCAAACAATTCAAAAATAGAAGAGTTGAAAAAACGAAAAATTTAAAAATCAAAAAAATTGAAAAACTGTAAAATTGTAAATTGAAAAGTAAAAAAATTTAATTTGAAAAATTAAAGAAACAAAAAAATAGGATCGAAAAATTGAAAAATCCAAAAACTGAAGAAACGAAAAATTATAAAATGAAAAAATTTCAAATTGAAAGTTAAAAAAAATACAAAACAAAAAATTGAAAATCTAAAAAATTGAAACAGACACCTAAAAGTTTGAAAAATTGAAAACTAGAAAAACTAATAAATAAAAATCTTCAAAAATCAAAAGTTAAAAAACTGCAAAATTCGGACTGAAAACTAGAAAAATGCAAATCGCAACAAAAATAGAAAAATCGAAAATCTGAATGATTTCAAAATTGAAAAAATGAAAAGTAAAAAATCCAAGAATTCAAAGATTAAAAAACCAGAAAATTTTAAATTGAAACCTCGAAAAATTGCACATCGAAATATTGAAGAAACAAAAAACTGGAAGAAAATCGCAAAATTCAAAAAACGAAAGTTGAAGAAACAAAAATTAAAAAATGAACAATTCAAAATTTGAAAAATTTAAAAATTGTAACTTGAAAATTATAATTACTTATATAATTCAGTATAAAAATGAGATATTTGTTATGAAATTAAAAAAATAAAATTGTGAGAACACCATACCATTGTTATAAGTCATAAATTTGAATAATAATCTACATTGACACACTTTTTGACGTCCGAAAAATCCCTACGGTTTCTACAAATTAAACCGTATGAATTTTCATTATTTTTAGGCGACCAACAAGTTAGTCATCAGATAAAAGACCCAAATCCATTGTTGTCTCAGTTCTAGTTAAGGTAATTCCCTATTTTTCCACATCACATGACATTGCATATTAAAATGCAATGTTAAAATAGTTTATTGCATAAACACAACCCAAAAGGAAGTTCACATCCGTTTGAAAAAGTCGATAATAATAATAATTGTAGTAGAATTCAATGCAGTTTGTGTATACACGATTAATATAAAAGTCGTCTGCCAAAAACTAAGTATATTTCAGTCAGAATTACTTCGGGCAGCTCATTAACAAATAATGCGAACAAACGGGGCGTCAAGCTTAAACCCTGGGAAACCCCAGAAGGTGGAGTGAAAGGTTCAAACATGAAACTACGATATCTAACATACATAATGCTCTTTGTTTGGTGGGTATG